ATAGAACTGTCCAGTTGGAAAGGCCACAAAGAATCATTTAGCCCAACCCTCTTCAGTGTGCAGGAAAATCAATGACGCCACCCCCAGGAGGTAGATACCTTCTTAAGAACCTCCAGAAATTTAAAAACGTGCACTCTGGCAAATGGCTTTGAAGGAGCGTGTTTTAATTCACTCCCATCCTGGCAGCCATTCTGTTAAGAGGCAATCCACGCGACATCCGTCATTTTGCGGGAGCCTCCACACGCTGCATTCCAAATTCCAGATGTGCACATCAGCCCTCAAAGAATAGCCCCCACCTTGTTGAATTCTGCTTGACAGCTGAGGCCTTCCAGGCTTCTGGCAAGCTGCTTTAGAACTGCCTGCTGCTTAGTCGTCGGTAGCAGATTCTCCGGGTCTTCAGCCTTTTACATACAACACAAGGAGTCTCCTGTGCTGAATTATGATTCTACTGGCAGAATAAATGTTTATTGATGATTGATTTATTCAGGGTATATGGCTACCCTCTCACCAAGCAACTCTGGCAGCTAAGAGGAGTTGAAAACATCAGAATATACAAAAACCAGCAAAGACACATACTGCACAGGGGACAGTAATCCACATATTGCATGCCAATGGCTCACAGGACATCCTGTCCCAGTGCCAGAGAAGAACCAGGTCTTCAGGGCCTTTCTGAAGGCCAGAAGGATCCGGCCATCCGAATCTCGGGGTGGGGGGATGCTGCTCTATAGGGAAGAACAGGGAAGGCATGCTTTCTGCACCCCATAAGATGATAGTTTGATAGAACCTGGAGCATACCAACCCTGGCCAAACTTATGGGGTGAGCACAGATAACTGGAAATAGACGGTCCTGCAGACAAGCTGGCTGGCCCTGTGCCATGAAGCCCACTGGCCACCAGTGCAACTCAAGCAGTAGTAGTGTTGTATTGGGTGGGGGGTACAGGGCTGTGCCCATGACCGCTTGCGTTGCCACATTCTGGACCAGCTGCAGCTTCTGAGTGGTCTTCAAGAGCAGGAATCTAAACTGATGCCATTTCTCTTTTTAGTTCGCAAATTTAGCCCCACAGAGGGCACATTGCAGTAATCCAAACAATATTCCTAGCTGATGATTCTGATGGACAGCTTGGATTTTGGCCACTGGTGGCTTCCCCTGCCCAAACTGTCCCTGGATTCTCTGTGCTTGCAAATTATCGGTTTCTTAGAAACTCTCCTCTGTTGTTATGCTAAAATCTTAGGTAGGAAAATCTACATAAGCAAGACCTTCCCTGATAGCCACAGCATTTTTTTTCCCCTTGCATCCCCTTTTCCTTTTACAACATCCTGCACAATCCTCTTCCAGCCTTTGATGATAGGATATGTTAAGAAATAAATACTATTTTTCAAATCTGCGCTGTAGTTGTTTCAAAATGCATTGTATTTTATCTACTACAACTGCAGACTTTTATTCAAGACCCTCAGAGTGAAGGGTGTTTCTCCAGTGTTCAACTGTCATTTGTTGGGGATGTACAAAATTTGCCAATTTGGGAAAAGAACACATTTTGTACATTCCTAGAATTTGCTGATTTTTTTTCATGCTTGAGGTATCTCTGAAATTAAACTAACAAGATGTGTTCTTTCATTCCATGCAGATCATGGTTTATCATCCCACTTTTATGAAATATGTTTATGACAACTGGCTGCAACGTCATGGGAGGTACCCCTCAACAGGTTTCCTGTCAATTATATTTGCCCTTCACCTCTGTGATGAGGTACGTGCCATACTAAGGCTATATTCAGAAAAAGTGGAAGATCAGGGTTTGCTGTTCAGGGAATGAGTCTGCATGAGCAAATTTTACATCTGTGCATGCCACCTCCTTTAATCTAATGCCTATTGCCTACGATATCCAGCAATCAGAAACATTCTAGACCCATAGCTTGCAAGTTGCAGATAATATTAAGGATCCAGCTGAGGTTCTGGACATCTTAAGTGTGTAGATCAGCATTCTAAATAGCCTTTCCTGAATGATGGTTGGAAACCCTGGGAATTCCAAAACATCTGGAGAACCACTAGATTGGGGGAGGCTAATGTAGATAAATGAGACCTATTCTGAGAGGGCAGCAAAATGGTGAAGGAGCTCCATACTGTGGGCTTGCTAAAAAGGAAAAGGAACTCCAAAATTCACTGCATTATCTTGATGCCATTAAATAGTGGTTAAATTAGATCAAGAGAAACAATCTTTTTTCAATTGAATTCTGCATTCTTGCATGAGTGATCTATTTGGGGGCCATGTTACATGTCCAGTGGTGAGGGAGTCTGAAGCAAGTAATGGGTGGAGCCCTCGTTCCATCCTCCCTTGTATTACTCAGTTTCTTCACAAACAGGAGGCCATCAGAAAAGATACTTTTGCTTTTAAAGGTTTTTGGAATTAGGCTGCATGAAATTGGGCTGAGGACTTCATGTGTCTGCAGGAGCATCCATTGCCTACCTTTAGGCTGGATGATTGTCACCACTCATTGGGAATAGGGTGAATTAGAAATGCTATAAAAACAAGCAAATGAGTAAATGACCTACACAACCCCTTTAAATGAATAATTTTGTTGGCTCTGTGAGGATGAAACAAGCCAGGATCTGAAACCATGGTTTTATCCTAGTTTATTCTGGCCTGGCGCAATATGGTTCATGGGGTCACGAAGAGTCGGACATGACTTAACGACTGAACAATTCTGGCAAGATACAGTATAAAGAAATTGTAATTCCCAGAGATGGGTCATTGCAAGATACAGTATAAAGAAATTGTAATTCCCAGAGATGGGTCATTTTTTATCCTAGTTTATTCTGGCCTGGCGCAATATGGTTCATGGGGTCACGAAGAGTCGGACATGACTTAACGACTGAACAATTCTGGCAAGATACAGTATAAAGAAATTGTAATTCCCAGAGATGGGTCATTATCTGGAATTGCAGTTAGTATGATAAGGGAAGCAAAGGAATATCATAGTTTCTTTTACAGCTGAAGAAGCTCTTGTTCTCACCAATCGTAGTTTAAACAATTTCCAAGCTTGACAGTGATTAACTTAAAATCTAAGGTGGAAAAATTCAATCTCACCCTGGGAAAGGAGGATGGGAGGAGTGTGCCAGAAACTTGCATGCCCATAGAAAAGAATTAAGCTGATGCAACTCCTCCTTTTAGCTTGCAAAATTTTGAATCAAAAATAAGCTGTAATGCAAACATGCTACAGAAGTTCTTATAATTAATCCAGCCAAATGCAGTCGACCGTTGGTAACTCTGTAAAATGTCTGATTTTGCTCCCAGCCTGGGACGGTCAAAACACAAGAGATGGTCAAGTCATCTGCTAAGACGCCACCATGCATGGTGACCTGCATTGACTTGGTGACCGATCCATTGTTCAAGTTGACCCTGAAATACCCAGAAGACTTTTTTATGTTTTTCCACACCCTGTTCCCACTGCTGTAATCCTAATTAAGATATGTCTTATTTTCTAGTAAATTCATCTCAGGCCATTGCTGAATTTCAGCTCTCAGCACCATGATCCTCTTTAGACAGTGCAGGATGGTGGGAATTGTACTTTAGCAACATCTTGAGGGTTGTAGGTGGCTAACCCCCTGCTAAATTGTGTTTTCTTCTCTCAGGAAACCTACATAATTTTGGAAAACAATACCTTCAGTTGCAAAGGGAGGTTAACATTGTCTTGTTGTCATGGTTACTTTAGCATAGGATACCTGTGAGGGTTGATAGAAATACTGGAAATAAGTAAAATGAAATCAACTTAAGAATCAGACTTTGCAGAGTTCTTTTTTCCATCCACTTTTTATCCCTAGGTGGATCTGTATGGCTTTGGGGCAGACAGTAAAGGCAACTGGCACCACTATTGGGAGAATAATCCTTCTGCAGGAGCTTTTCGGCAGACCGGTGTCCACGATGGAGACTTTGAGTCAAATGTGACGCACACCCTTGCCTCTGTGGCCAAAGTACGGTTGTTCAAGGGCAGATGACCCTGGTTGTTGAACAAGCTGTGATCTCTGGCAAGAAGGATGGCAGATTTTTAAAATAAATGGAGTCTTGGAGTGGGTGGTCTGTCGTTCCTCAGCTGAGAATGCTTCGGAGAACTGCAAGCTGCAGTTAGGCAGTTTTGAAAGGCCCCTTGAGTATGGCTCCAAAGTTTGACAGCATAGGAAGCACCCTGTTTGGAAAAGGAATTTCTGCTCAAGACTCTCCTATTGAAACCAATGCTTTAGCTCCTTTTCCCTCTTAAGAATGACCGAATCTTCAGCTCTACAAAAAGGGGAAGGAAAGGGCAGGGATTTCCAAACACCATCTAGTTCCAAATTACCTCAAAAGACCTTATTCCAGTTGTGGTCTTTTCTCTGAAGGATCTTTGCAAGGCCAACCCACACCAGTTCTTGTTCAGTAGGATGAACGAGATCTTTGTCTCTTGTGAGCAAAATGATTGCCGTGCCGTGCAGGTTCGTGTTTTGAACATCTAAGCGAAATGTCCTGTTTCCAGGTAATATTACTATTACTGTTCAGTGTGGCTATAAGCCAGGAGGGAAGCAGGAGGATTAAATAGTTATATATAAAAGAAGAAAATGCAGGCAAATTAATACTTCTATTTACTTTTTAACAAATGCTCTGCTACAGCTTGGTTCTCAATTCTCTTGCAAAGCAGAGAAATGAATTAAAGTTGTGCACACACACACAAGCTACGAGATCTGGGCTCTGCCAATTTAGACAACCCCTAGATGGCATCAAAGGTTAGTTTTACATTTCTGCTGCCATCTAGAGATCATGGGGAGCTGGGCAGCCCAGATCTGTTGGCTTAACACATATGCATACACATGCAAACCTGTCATTGACATGTGCCTTTCTAAAACACCCATAGTATAAAGGGAGCATACTTGTCTTTTCCATTCCCTCAGAGACTGCAATCTCAGAATTCCACTTGTTCTATGAAAATAAGTGACATAATGTTTAAAAACTCATCCTGTTTTATATTGGCTTGTCTTTTTCTGGGTGAAGGAGAGGAAAAGGAACCAT